CCCGCAGTCATGCTGGGAGACGAGCACAGCCAGCATCCAGCCGCAGCTTTCCTCTGGCCCGGCTCCGGCTCCGCCAGCTTTCCCGCTCCTCCTGCTCCCCCCGCTCCCTCGGCCCTCCCTCCCCTCACACCCCGCTCTCCCCCCACCTCTGTCCTGCACTTATCCTATGAGACCTGGACACCTGGATCTCCGTCACCTTGGACATGACAGATGAAATCAAACAGCACAGATGACACAGGTCCTGCTGCCCACCCCATCTGTCAACAGGGATGCAAAGCCTGAGGTGGCCCCACATCACAGCAGCCTCTGACATTGGGCCCCACGACCTAGGCTCAGGGATGAGGATGGAAGGCACAGGGGAGGGGGTGACCCTCCCCAAACCCCAGGCTGGACACATCTGCAGTCTTCTCCCCTCCGCCAGCGCCACTCCCCTGGAGTCCAGCCTCTCCACCCCAAACCCTTCAACCACCTTCCGCCAAGCCCGTTCCCACTGCTCAGCCCCGCAGCTCATTGGCCCTCAGGGCCCCGGCTCAGGACAGAATAAAAGGTAGTGAGTAGGAGACGGACTCCGGCTCTTCTCTGCGGACCCAGCGCCTTTACCCCAGAGGTAACCAAACACCCCAAGTCATCTGCGAGAACAGTCCAAGCGCAGACACAAGCCTGAGGCCAGGGGCCCAGGGCTGCGGTCCCTGGACACTCACGCACGTGGCTGCAAGTTTAACACACACGGATACTTGACTCCCCCAAAGTAATCGGTTCTTGCCATTTTCTAAGTCCAAGCTCCTCTTGGGCCTGCTTTCACTTCCCACATGCCAGCTTCATTCCCATACTGCGGTCAACACTCGCATGAGGACAGGCCCATTAGCCTTGGGGTGATGGAGGGCAGGAAGTGGGGACTGTGGAGAGCGGGCGAACGGGCCCTCTCCAGGGGCTGGCCACTCACTAGTGAGCGCTAGTTGCCGTTGCCGGAAGGCAGCTTGGAACTGTTGCCCAATCTGTTGGCTTTTCAAGAGGAGCCCCCAACCAAGACCTTCAGTGAAGTCCTCCATTTTAAAGTATAAGGTGTACTAATACTCAAAAAGGGTAAGTGGATCAATCAAGCCCAGCGCGGCCATGACTCTGAGGCTGTGTTCTGACCAACACTCGGTGGGGACACAGGGCCTAGGCCCTGAGTCGAGGGTGCCGCTCCCAAGACCACCAGCCCCGCACTTTTCTACACTGCGTTGGACCTCCGGGGTGCCATGCTCTGGCCCAGGGCAGCGCAGACATCCTGGGTACCTTTGTCCACGCCCAAGCCAGCACCCAGACCCCCAGATGGCACCCTGACATCCTTCCAACTCCTCCACTTCTGGCCTGACCAGCAGAGAGCATTAGCTGGGTGTGAGGGCAGTCACTCCTGGCTGGCTTCCCGGCTCCCATCATGGCCGTGGCTATCCTGTACCACAACCCCCAAGTGAACCTGCCCCTGCTCGTCCTGAGTCCAAAAGGCGGCCTCTATTTCTGGCCTCTGGGTATCTGCATACCCTGCTCCAGCATCCAGAAACCAGCTCCTATCTTCCCCCAGCTCCCCTTTAGCTGACATGTCACTTCCTCCAGGAAGCCTTCCCCACCACTTAGGCACCCAGGGTGCTTCACAGAGCCAATTCCTCTGGCGAACTCTGTCCCACTTGCCATCGTATCCTGGTCCTCGATACATAGTCAGAAGGAAGCAGTCCTGGCTGGCTGTTCACCTCCCGGTGTTAGTTGGACCATCCCTTCCAAGAGTAAGGCCATCGCAAAACATTAGCCCCAGATACATTGGGAACTTGAACCGTTCAAGTTTTTTTTATTTTCTGAGTTCTTAGAAAAACAAAAACAAAACCCAAAACCAACTGGAAAAACTGACAGGAGGAGGCTAAAGCCCCAGGGTCAGCTGGAGACTGAGAGGCGTACGAGGAGCTGCAGGTTGGGCCTCACGGGGTCTGCGGAGCAAGTGGTAGAGAGTCCCGACGCTCTGGGCGTGGTGGGTTTGAGAAAGAGGCAGGTTACTTAAAAAAATATATATACTGTACACATCTCTATGAAGCGTCCGGTGTTGGGGAGAGTGGGGGTGAGGTCTTGGGCTATGCCCTTCGGCCCAGCCCACACTGGGACCCTGCGGCTGGCTGTCTTCTGCTGTGGAGGGAGGGAAGTTAAAATTCAGTTCCAACCTTAGCGGGCAGAGGTCAGAGGCACGGGGTGGTCACCGCATGGTTAAGAAAGCCCTGGGGAAGGAAACGCATCCAGACGTAAACGTTCCTGACCGTCTTCTCCGAAGCATGGGAGGGGTACTGACTAAGCACCGGGATGTTTCTTGGTGCCTGTCTGGTCCCAGGAAGGTAGGGGGCAACCAGGGCCAGCACAGCCAGGTGGAGCAGTTCCTGTGACCACCACCCTTTCCTCCACGGGGGCGGGGCGGGGTGGGCATGGATCCCTTCGATGGCTCATCCCCAGTCAACCACCCCTTCCCATAAGGAAAGCCCCCCATGTTACAAGATCATAAGGGAAGGAACTGGGATGGGGTAGGGACACACCAAGCTGCACCTGACCTAACCACCCATGCCTGCCTCCTAGAGCAGGCTGAGGCCAGCACACGGGGTGCGGCTGGCCATGCTGTTACTGCTCTGGATCCTTCTGAAGCCACAGTGCCCACTCCTGGCACTGCCCACTGGCCCGGAAGAATGGAACCTCTCCAGTCCCTATCCCCTCAGGGCCCACCTGCCTGGCTCTCTGGGACCACCTGGATGCCAGAGCCGCCCTCCTCCAGGAAGCATACCTGGGCCTTGTGCCTGTGGCCCTCAGACGGTCTGTTCCGCTGTCTTCTTCTGTGGGAGAGAAGTATGAGAGGCTCTTGAAGCTGTTGTGGCCTCCCGAGCAGATCCTCGGTCTGCAGGGATGCCTGCGGGCAGGGCAGGGCAGTGCCTCCTGCACCCTCCAGGAGGGAGCCAGAGGCTCAGCTTTGATAACACAGCAGGCCCTGTGGGCCTGGGTAGAACTGCACCCGTGTAAGGTGTGGGCTGTGGGCCATGAGCACAGCCCCTGTTCAGGGGGTTCTGATACCCGGAAGTAGACAGGTGTGGGTTCATTCAGTGGGGATCTCCTGCCAGCCAGGGTCATCCCCTCTTGTCTGGAAGCCTGCAATGCCCACCTGAAGGTCCCTTCTTCCTTGACCCTCCACTCTTAGAACATCCTTGTGCCCCACAGACAAGATGGGGTCACTCCTGTGCTTCCACGCACCACCCCACTCCCGGCTTTTCCCCTGTGTCATGATTCCTAAGTCCCCCCAAAACCTGAGAATGGAAAAGGGCAGGGACCAGGTCTAGGTGGGTGGGGGGCTGGCACTACCCCAGACACTGGGGCTCGGTCTCTCTTCCGGCCTGAGGCCCTTCAAGGACTCGCTCTACCTTTTTTTTCTTTTTCTTCTGAAATGAGTCAGGGTCTTTGAGTGAGGTCTTTTTTGCTTTCTTCTTCTTTTCCTTTTTTTCTTTGTCTTTTTTTCCTGAGGGAAGAAAGTAAACTTTGTGAACAAAAAAACCCCCAAGATCTGGGGACATCAGGAGACACCCACAGGGGAAGGGTTCCAGGACCCAGTTCTCCCCACACCACGGGGAGCCACCAGCACAGGCCAGTGGACAACTGAGCAGGGCCACCTGCCTGCCCTGTGTGTCAAAACTCGTGTTTGATCTAGCCATGGACTACCTGGGTTATTACTCATTTTATCTCACTTGTTTTTTCTTTTTAAGATTTACTCATTCATTCATTTATTTAGTATTGTTATTAATATTTTAAAGTTGACCAGAGAAAGAGAAAGACAGACAGAAAGAGAGAGAAAGTGAGAAAGCAACTTACCAGGTTCAGGACTCGAACCACAGTCAGCCATGCTACCTGCTGACCCCTTATCTCACTTTTTAAAAAATAATTTTGTCAAAGAGCCCATATGCTTGCCAAACAGATGGGGCAGTGGGGGAAGCAGGGTGTGGCATGCTGTACTCCTCTCTCTCCCCCTCCTCCTTTCGGGATTTTGGGCACATGTGCACACACACTGGGGTGTTTCTCAAGCTGCCGGGTCCAGGACTGCTTGGTTGGCCGTGTGGGATCAGCCACCTTAACCACCAGTCACGAGCTGGTCCTTGAACTTACTCGCACCTTAACTAGCACAGCATCTGCTGCCCTTGAACTCACTAATAAAACTCCCCAGACCTGTATTCCAAAGGGCCCTATCCATCTCCACCGGCAGCGGAAACTGGTTCTGAGCACCGAGGTCTGCAGGCCCCCTGCAGGTGGCCCTGCCTTGCTCTAGGGTGAGCGGGGTCTTCGGGCGCCCATCACTGGTCTCCTTCGCTTCTTCCTGCCACTTAGCACCGAGCTGCACAGCCCTGCCTAGTTCCTGATCTGGCTCCCCCGCGAAGCTCTGAGAGCCCGAGCAGTTTCTCTACTTCTTTGGGCCTTAGCCTTCTACCTGGAAAATGGGACTGAAGGCCACCACCATCCAGGCCGGCCTGAGGATTCAATGAGGTCCTGACACTCCTAGGTGGGGACTAGCCCGAGTACGAAAAAGGGCTAAAACTACCACCGCAGGGAATCGCTGGGGGGCGGAGGGCTTGGGTGAGGGTTCAAGTGCTCTGGCTCCCCATATGCTGTGCTCCAGGGAGCTGGCTGCAGGGGCAGGATCCTCCAGCTCTGCTGACGTGGGCGGCAGGGGACAGGACACCACCTCGTCCTTGCTCAGGGTGAACACTGTCAGGAAGCACTCTGCTCCGGGAGCAAGGGCGGCCCAGGCGCTCTGGAATCTAGCTCTGGCTTTGCCACCAGTGCCCCCACACCTCTGCATAAACCACTTCCAGCCTCTCCCCTCCACCCAGCAGGGGTAAGACCAGGTGGGGCAGAGGGCTCCTCCCACCCCACGTGGTACCTGGCAGCCTGGGTGTGAGACCAGGGGGTGAGCGACTTACTCTTGTCGGATTTCTTCTTCTCTTTCTTGCTCTTTGGGTCACTTAGATCTCCACCCTCAACCTTCATCAGCCCCAGCTCCCCTTCCGGCTTGTCCTTGGCCCCTCCAGAGCCGGGAGCCCCCTTCCCCTTCTTCTCTTTGCCTTCACCACTCGCTTTGTCGCTCTTTGATTTCCCCTTAGGAGTCCTGGAGGCCTTTTCTGGGGCAGCAGTGCCCTCTGTGCCCTCGCCAGATACCAGCTGCTTCTTCTTCTTGCTCTTGGGGGCCCTGGCTGCGGGCTGGTCTCCCGACAGCTTCCGCTTGCGGCCGGCTCGGCCCTTCCGGCTGCCCTCCCTGGTGGCCTCGGCAGCCTTCCTCCTTTCCTGCTCCAGCAGCTCTGTCAGCACCTTCACCACTGAGGCCTGGACCTGGGCCTCGCTCAGTGGCCAGGGCTCGCCTAGGAGGCGCTGCGTGATGTGGCTCTGCAGTGAGGCCTGGGAGCTCATGGCCTCCTTAGGCTTCCGGGGCTTCTGAGGGGTGGGGCCCAAGGTGGCCTCTCTTCGGCCTATGGAGAGAGGACTTGGGGTAACGGATCTGGGAGAGTTGGGGGACATATCTCTTATGGTATGTGATAGCTAGGGGCTGCAGGGAGAGAACCCACCTCCTCCTAGGGTGGAAGACGGGGAAAGCAAGGCCCAGGGTCACCACCCCCACCCGTCTCTCGGACTGGCACCCTCTCAGCAGCTCCCACCCTGATCACACTTTTTTTTTTTTGGAGAGGTTTTGGCTATAGGGCGCGTGCGCTTGCCAAACAGACAGAGAGAGACAGAGAGACAGAAAGCAAGAAATCACCCCCCGGGGGGATGGTCACGCCACAATCCCTTCTCCTCCATTCTCCTCTCGGGATCTTGGCCACGCATGCACA